AGAGCAGGGAGAAGGAATGTTTCTGGATTTGGACTAAATGACAATTCTTGGATTTTAGATTGTAACAAAAGCAGTTATAAGTTTTGGTACAACAACGTCCAAACTCCCCGTCTCAGGTCCTCGGTCCTCCAGAGTAGGAGTGTACCTGGATCACAGTGCAGGTATTCTGTCCTTCTACAGCATCTCTGAAACCATGACTCTTCTCCACAGAGTCCAGACCACATTCACTCAGCCTCTCTATGCTGGACTTTGGTTTTATTCTTATGATGACACTGCTGAGTTCTGTAAAGTCAAATAGTCAGAAGTCATTTCAGGGACAGTTGGTTAAATTCTGTGTTTTAATCCTTAAACTTCTTTTGTCTTCATGTTTGTTGCTGAGAGCTGATTGTTGTGGCATTTCTTCACTGCACAGAGATCAGCTGTCAATCAAACATTGTGGGCGGTACTTTGAGGTCTGGTCATTAGTTGCTGTGTAAATGTTTGAGTTTCTTTAGGTGGAGCTCCTTCCTGTGTCTGTTTAGCCATGGAGGCTATCACTGCTCAGGATGACTTTTGTTCACCTGAACTGACATTTCTCTGCATGAAAATGGAAACTTCTCTGAGCTCTAAATGTTCAATATTTGAATTGATGTATTAGAGATTCTGCTCAAACCCACTGCTTGTGTGGATGAAGTGAATCTGTACCTGAAATCATTGAACAAGAGTCATTTAACAGACGTTACTGATGGGATGTGTGAACAAACTGAAGGTTTACATGATGAATAAACAAACATGAACAAAGTCTTTCCTTCCTGTCTTCATTCCAGGGTATCATACAGAGCTGATGGAGAAAATGTGAAACTAATATGAGAGTATAACTGAGGCAGTTTTCCTCCTGAAACACCACAAAGTACAGAGTTCATGTTTAGAGCAGGAGAGCATTTGTCAGTCAGTCTCTGTCCTTCCAGCTTTCCTCACTAAAACAGCTTTGTCACAGAGAAATGAGCAGAGTTTTCTGTCACTTGTTGCTTTTTAACAACCAGCACTCGCTCGGAGGCCAAGGTGCGTTCACTGACCTGGTTCAATAATAGCAGTGGTGATGGCTGTTTAACTGTTGTCTGTGTCTGTGTCTGTGTCTGGCTCCACCTGCTGTTTCTTCAGAATCAGAATCAGAAATACTTTATTGATCCTAAAGGGGAAATTCTTTTGTCAAAATTTCACGCTTGTCAAGGTAGATAGATAAAGATTATATAAATATAGGAGGATAAATATAAAATATAAAGACAAATATAAAGGAGAGTTGGAATGTAAAATATTTACATTACTAAGAATTATTTTGGTGAACCAAAAAGTACTAGTGAATAAATAGCAGCAGGTAATATTGCACAGAAAATAGATAATAAGGTCTAGTTTAATAACTGTGTGTCAGACACTGTAAGGGAGGATATATAAAGTTATAAAGTTCTAAAGTTTGATGGCCACAGGCAGGAATGACTTCCTGTGGCGCTCTGTGGTGCATTTTGGGGGAATGAGTCCTGTGTTTGGGCAGCACATCATGGAGTGGGTGGGAGACATTGTCCAAGATGACATGTAGTTTGGACAGCATCCTCCACAACGTCACTGCCGTTGTGGATCAGTTTGTTGAGTCTGCCCCAGCATGCAACAGCAAACAGGACAGCACTGGCCACCACAGACTCGTAAAACATCCTCAGCATCGTCCTGCAGATGTTGAAGGACCTCAGCCTCCTCAGAAAATAGAGACGGCTTTGGCCCTTCCTGTAGAGGACTTCCTGTTCTTGGCCCAGTCCAGTTTATTGTCCAAGTGCGCTCCCAGGTATCTGTAATCCTCCACAATGTCCATACTGACCCCTGGATGGAAACAGGGGTCACTGCTGCCTTTGCTCTCCTTATTTTAAGTAGGGCAATCTACATTAAAGAACTTGTGCACACTTTTTAATATTTCCCTTCACTACAATGAGCCTCTGCTCTCAGTCTTTACAACATACAGAACTGAAGGCAAGATACTGCAGTACTACTTCTTGTGAAACACTATCAGTACGCTGCACCAAGTATCAATGTTTTCATTGCACATTTGCTCCAAATATACTCCCAGCATTAAGCATACCCTCTGCCCCAACTGCTGTAACAGTTACCACCGTCTTTCAGGAAGGCAGTCCTGTCATTATGTGCACATCTCTAATGTATTTTCTCCCTCGCAGCCTTTTTATATCCAATGAGTCTCCTTCTCTTTAATGGCCTTTCCCTCCACACAAGTGATTGTAGTTTCAAGACAACTTCATTTATTTCCTACACCGATACATTGAGACCTCTTTGCACTGTTCATGTTTTATATTTTGTCTACAGTGGTAGTGGGTTTGACTCTAAGGTGTGTTAATCACTGTTTTTTGGAACCTGTTTATTAAGAATGAGTTTTTTCTTTTGAGGATTTCATCAGTAAATTCAGTATTAATATTTAAAGGAAATAGTATGTAAAGCAATTCCCATTCCTCTACTTCAAATAATACAAAGTACAATTTTCCTTGTTTCCACCGTCCTTTTCTAAAAGTTGGTGATGTCACTTCGATGAATAAAATTTTTTATTATAAAACAATTATACTGGTCTTTAAATAAAATAAGAACTCTGATTCATGCTCTGTATCAGATAATATAGAAGTCCCTTTAAGGAAACAATCCTTGCCCTTTTATCTATCATGTCCTCCTGAAGTCAAACAAAAAATAGTATCAACAATGAACCCTGTTTGTACAGCAGCCCCAAGAGGTCATGCATTTTATTTATTCCATTTTCCCATGATAACAATTTACTTTCATTTTTTTTCTTGAGATGTCGAGTTGTTATGTCATTATCTTAAAATAACAAATGTTTTCCGGAGATAACTGGATGATTTTCTCAAGATCTCGAGATAATGAAATAATTAATTTGAGATCTTGATAAAGTAAAACAAGTCTAGTACACCTTATATGAACATATAGTCAAAGGATAATTTCAGACTGGTTGTCATTGTGCTTTGTTAGCTCCATCCACCTACTGTTTATTGGTTTTAAAAAGGAGACCTTTTGCTACGTTTGCTCCAGCGAAAACGAAGACCTAAACCTGACTTTGAAAACGCTGCCGACCCCGTTTTTTGTTTTGAAACACTGGGTGGCAAAAACGGAGGACTTTAGAAACGATGACGCAGACGCTCACACTTGGCTCTCTGACTGGGTCTCATAAATAATGCAAAGTAGAAATGCGATGCTACTGACAGAGTTTTTAGTTTTGGTATTTTTATTAAAATATTTTGTACCGTACAAATAACACTTTTAGCCTACACACATACTGTGTATGTTTACTTTGCAGCGAATTCCAGTCTGTTTTCCACCGCCACAGTCTCTTTGTATTCCCATGTTACTTTCAGTAACAGTTCCACCTCGTTGTCGGTCCATGAAAAAAAAAATCTGGTGTGGTTCTTCGTCTGTAATTCTTTATTCTTTCGCCAAATCTTCTGTAACTGCGGAGTAGACTATCTCATTTTAATATAGACAGAAATCAACTCTCAGACTCCGTCTGTAGAGCATAGGAATCTTAATCTCAGGGTTGTGTGTTCGATCCCCACATCAAGTGAAAATCTAATCTCTCCCCCTTCAACAAATTAATCAAGAGACTATTTCACATGCTCATAATAAAGCATGTGCTTGAGTGTGTGCGTCTCCACGATTCTTAAACATCCATCAACCTATAGTTTATGTAGTTTATGTTTGTTTCCCTAGCATCCCCTGGCAGAGGAAAGTCCTGGGGTGAGTTGCAAAACAAGCTGGGGATGGATGTTACAATGACAGGTAATTTGCTAAAATAAGATCCACACAATACAATTTATACGAGAACATTATTGAAGAATAAAGAGGACATTGTTTTGAATAAGATGAACAATTGATAGGTGATAAAAACGCTTATTTTTTCAAAACTTTATGTTAACTGAAAATCTTCTATGTGTTTGCTTGAGTTTGCGTTTGTGTGTGTGTCACATGTTTAATCACTGTTAAAACGCTTCCACTGCCTAGGCATGCTAGAAAAAAGATAAAAAGTGCAAAATAAAACATTCTGAATCATCATAAGGGGATGGTTGTAACATTACTGACGAACTGTTACAACCATCCCCAAAACTTACAGCCATTACATAGCTAGCTGTTAAAGGTATGTGGGTTTGAAGTTAGTATGAATGCAAAGCATCAAATGAAATTAGAGATGGCTTCTTTGGGTGATATAAGTTGCAACATTGCATCTACAATAGAATGAAAGCTAAGCAAAAAATAATCTTGATATAAAAAAATACTCCCTGACCTGAAAATGATCAGGAAAATTTTTTGGTTGTATAATTCACAGTTTTGCTAACAGAGGCATGCCACTTCTCATGTGAGCTTGAAAAGCAAACTGGAGTCTACGATATTGATGATATCACCATAGCTCTCATCTGATTGGTCAAACTGACAGTGTCACAACACTCCCCGCTCTCCCCTACTCTTTTACTCACTGATTTTCTTTTTCTGGTGCCAAAAATGTTTTGCTCTTAAAATGAGTTGTAATGTGCGTTACTGGGATTGTAACGAGTATAATATTACAGAATAGTCCTCCCTCTTTCACTTCATGTGCTTTTTTTTGCAGACGACTATCTACTTTAAGTCACTGAAGGCTATTGATAAAAAATAGTTTTCATCTATATCTAAGTTCTTGCTTTTTAATGTCTCTTATCTAGCTCTTTTGCACCTCGTCTGTTTACATGTATTTGTTTTATCGTGACCTTTCTTGTGTTTTCAGTAGGCTTATAACTTAGCTTACCTACATTATCTGTTTCGAGTGTGCTAAAGTATCATTTCCACCATTGTTACTTGATTTCTCTCCTTCATGTTTGTTTACACATTCTCTAATTTGTTTTGTATATTTTCCATATTTTCAATGAGTAAAATAAAAAAAAGTATTGCACCAAAGTCACGGAACATAACCTCGGGGGAAATCCTACATTTCCCATGTTACCCCGCGCACACGGAAGTACGTCATCACGCGTGACCTTGTCTCTTCTCTTCAGCAACAGTCGTAGCGGACGAGCATGGCGAATAAAGATCCAGGTGTAAGTTGTTTTCTGCTTTAAATTCTGTTTTATATAAATGTTTGTCACATTTCTGGCTTCAGCTCGGTTGAACAGTCCCGCTGTTTCCCGCTCTTTGCATGTGTGTTCGTGACATGAGCGTTTAGAAAGTTACACACGTGAGTGATGCTGACTCTGATGTAAGCTAACGTTAGCCTACACTAATGTTAGCTAAGTCATTTTCAGAGAGCTTTTAGTCAAAGATGAAGACAGGTACTGAAGGTAGAGGGTTTGTTAACGATACTACATGCTGGTTTGGTAATATTTCGCTGGCAGGAATATTTATGTTAGCCTCGGGAAGATGCGTCCGCTCTAGTAAGCACAGATGCCAGTATCCGTCTGAAAATCTAACACATTAATTTATCATCGCTTTTGGCATATGTACATGCATTTTAAAATAACATTTTAAAACTATATAGATGTTTGCACAGTCCTCTCTTCAATTCGGCGTACAAATAACTTACAAAAGTACACCGAGGAGCTTAGCTTTCTACAAAAACCTCAGTTATGCCACCTTACACAAGCTGTTTACACGGCGGTTGACATCCGGAAGGACTAAAGTCATAAGCAAACAAATACAAACTTTGATATTCTATCTAACTAATTCTGCTTTGTGGCTTTTCTCTAAGCCGAATTTGACATTAGAGCCCACAATTTGAAAACAGATAATCTGTTATGTCTAACTAACTGACTAATTTGCTTTAGTGCGAGCAAACATTAAAACAATACACTTTTGAGTGGAGTTTGGCCGGCCATGAACGCACATGTAGTTAATGTTATTGTAGCTAGATACAGTCCTTGAAGAGTTTTTGGCTGATGTCCACCTTCAACATGGTTACTCATCCAATGTGAAGGTCACTCTGTGTCGTTTCTGTGTTGAATTTCCCCGTTAATATTCAGCTCAGTGTGTTTTTGCTGCTAAAGTTTAAGCTGTATAAACTTGCTCCTTGTGTTTCAGGGTTTTCTGCAGCAGCTGCGGCAGATAGCAGGCAGGATGTCTTCTGGACCTCGGGGTGCAGGACTCGGTCTCAAACTCCTGGTTGGTGCTGGAGCTCTGGTTTATGGCGTGAAGGAAGCAACATACACAGGTGGACTACTTTTTCTCAATGCACACAAAAACACAGCAAACACCTGTCCCTCACCTGAACGCTCCACTGACTAGTTGAAACTGTTTAATTTGGCTATTTGACAATCATAAAACCGAGCTAGTCTCTGCTGCAGTCTTGGAGATGGTGCAGTCATGGCTGAAAATATTCTGGTACCTTTCACACTTTTTTTTTTTTTAATGCAACACGTCTTCCAGAAAAGCATGTTGTATAGTTTGTATTTCTTGAGTTTGTAGTAGAACAAAACAGAAAACAGCTGCTGAAAAACTCAAGCTTTTCATATTTTGCACCAAGGAAGATCAGCTTAGATAAAGAAGTTGATCTTTGTTCTGTCGTGAACACTGAACAAGAGAAGAAAGAAAGGTTTCTCAGGTGTACGAGTCCTTAAACAGGAGATACGAATGTCCAGTGTGAGGTCCATCTGTAGCCAGACCGTTTCATCCTCCTGGCGTCCCGATCCGAGGCTGGTCGAAACAGATTATCGGCCCAAATAATCCTGTGAGGGGTTTACAGACATAATCTGAAGGTTGAATTCATTTTGAAATCGGGGAGCCTCACATACAGCCGTCTGAGGAGACTGTTATCCGGCCAGTAGTTGGTGCAGAGGATGTGAAGTGTTCTACGTAACTTTGAGCCGTTTGTGCAACGTCCTTTTGTCCACAACCCGCTCGAGAGGCTGCAGGGCAGCACACAACCTGCCCTCCTCATCAATAAACAAGGTATTAGGAGAAGGGTGCGTCTCACTTTTACAGCTGTTTTAATGTTCAATAAAAACTCGAGATCATTTCTGTAGTTTTTAATATAAAGTGTATATCATGCACCCTGCTCCTCTGATTAAAATTAAACCTGGAAACAGACAAATGTTTTCACAATACAAAAATTAAAATAATTTGATAAAAGACAAATTACTGACAGTGTAACTGTGGGGTGGGGGGCTGCGAACACTCCTGCTGGCCCCGCCTCTTCCTGTCACTCTACCTGTATGAGGCTCTGCTAACTTTCTCCATCAGCAGTACGTTTTACAAAGTCGCCGTGTTTAATAAACTCACCTGCGATTTACATATTCAAGTGCGCCGCATGCGGATCGAAACCAACGTGGTGCTGAGTGACATCTGCAGCGGTGCGTTCACTGTCGCTCCGTAATCTCCACCATCTTCAGGTTTGGTGAATTATTACTTTAAAGTTTAAAGGCTGGTTTTTGCTCCCGAGTGAACGTTAATTGTGGTTTTTTTAACTTTTCTTTCTGATTAGAACAAACACTTGATGCCAAACAGTGGATCACTTCACAAACCTGAGGCAGAACATTCAAAATTATAAAGTAAAATTCAACAAAATAAATGTCTTAATAGATAAAATTAACTGCTGATTTATTTGTGATTCAAATAAATGTAAGTAAACCTTTATTAAACATTCGTTATTTTTATTATTGAGGAAAATTACATTGCGATAATTATTATATTGCCCAGCCATAAAAAACATGTTTGACTGATTTTTTTTTATTAAACTTTTTTTTTTTATATTCGAGTTTATTTATATAAAACAAAGCCGTACAGAGACCACAGACCAACCGATCATTTGCCTGATTCCGTCTTACCGATGGCGACTCGGGTGTTGAGACGGCGAACAGCGCCGGAGAGGCGGGTGACGTGCTGACAGTCATGATGTGTTTGTTTGTTCTCTAGTTGAAGGAGGACAGAGAGCGATCATCTTCAGCAGGATCGGAGGGATGCAGATGGACACGGTTCTCTCTGAGGGACTCCACTTCAGGTAGGACGCCTCTCGCTCAGAGAGATCAGTACGTTGTCCTTTTTTATATCGACCAATGACGGCCGAGGTCTGCGTCAGAATGTAACGACGTGAAGGATGCGTTTCAAAGACGATTGTTTTTGTCATGATTTCAGGAGCCACTCATTAAACAGTGAATATCTCTGTCTGCAGAACATCACAGAAAGACCACTGGGCTTTATTCTTAATTCTGGCAATCTGGTTGGGTAAAAAAGGCCTCGCCGGGCTCCGCCCACTGTGTTGCTATGGCGATTAGCCCAATATACATGTGCACTGGTGTGTAATGTATCTGTAGCTTTGCTGTTCTGTGGGAGAAGCCAAAGACTTGGAACATGTTCAAAGCAGTCGTGGTGGCGATGGAGCAGTGGATAAGCCTTTGGTGTGAGAGACACGGGTTCAATCCCCCACTGTGACCCATCCACCATTGTGTCCCTGAGCAAGACATTTAACCCTTAGCTGCTCCAGAGGCGTGCGACCTCTGACATATATAGCAATTGTAAGTGGCTTTGGATAAAAGCGTCAGCTGAATGAATAAATGTAGCCTGTAAAATATTCTGTTTTCAGGGTTTTTCCTGGCTCAGAATGGGCCTTTGGGGGCCTTTTGCGTTCAGTACGTAAATCTTTTTTTGATAAACAAAATATATATAACATTAAATAGAAAGTATAATGTTAGTATAATAATCTATTTACATGTTACACTTTATTTGGATGATCTGCCTACAGATAGTTTATTAGTTAAGATTCAGCTGTTTCACTAATAAAACCATTCTCTGATATCAGCCTTCACCACTGTGGTTGAGGTTTGATGTTTGTGTATTCATTATCATTTCAGATAATAGTACAGGCTACCATAGTTTACCATTAGTAGCCTATAATATTAATTCCAGTTGGACAAAACAGCAGTTTCTGTGGTTTGTTTTCAGTCACTAAATTATTGTGCAAGAAAAATGCGTTTGTTTTGTTTGTTATGTTATAACCTGCCCGTTCAGCCTCATGTGGAGCTGGATGACATGTGTTCATGCTGCTTCTCTGTCTGCAGGATACCCTGGTTCCAGTATCCCATCATCTACGACATCCGAGCCAGACCCAGAAAGATCTCCTCACTCACCGGAAGCAAAGGTCAGACACAGAAACCAGAAACCAATAAAAAGAACCTGATGGAAACGTGTTTAAGACTTTTTAAAGACCCCGCGGAAACTGTTACAGGATTAAAGTCTTAAATTTCAAAATCTCCCTGATGTCTAGCACGCCAAATATCTGGAGGAGTCGGCCGACTCTACGTCCACATCCAGCCAATGAGAGCAGGAAGCTACTTTTTCACTGCAAAACACTTTTTCCTCCCCTCCGCTCTCTGTAGCTCAGATGATTCCTGCTGCCTGCGTGTGCTGATCCATCCTTTCACCCAGATTCTTTGTCTTTAGAATAACAAACAGCTGTTTTGTCTGTAAGTTATCCTCATTTCCCGTTTCACATTTCACATGTGTGTTTTTTTTTGACAAAACGTGGTTTGGAGACCAGCATCAATTGACAGCCGCTGTCAGCTCGTGTGGTGTGTGACCCCCTGTCACCGATCGTCACGTAGTGTGAACGCCTCAACGACTTCAAGACTCCCGTCACAAGACGGCAGGTTGTGTAGCGTGAACGGCACGACCATCGGCCGACGCTGAGAGTCGTGTTGTCTGCACGAGGCATTAGGGCTTGATGAAAAACAGTCGCTAGCAACGTATTTGAAGTCTACTGTCGCTGCTTAATGAATGAGCGCCACTACTAAAACTTCACATGATCATTAATGATTGTCGGTAACTCTGAACTGTCTTCCTCTCCTCATTCTTCAAAGGACGCACAAGGCAAACATGAACAGTCCTCTCTGCAATGATTCTGAGGTCACATTAACCGTGTTCTTCTGCCTTTAAAAGGTGGTGAGGCTCAAAACAGCTTGGTGCTGCGCCATGAATGTAAAATCACTGTGGAGAGCATCAAAACTAACCACATGACTTTTCCCAGATCATAATTCAAACCCAGTAGATTTATTTAGTAAGTTTAGCTTTTGGGTGCAGTTTATTCAAAATCTGCCCTAGATTTCCTACTTATTATTCACAGATGTGGAAACAACAGTGTTCTAAAATTATGTTGAATTTCTTAATTGGAAAACATAAAAAGTTTCTTGGGGGATGACCCCCAAAGCCCCACATTAAAAACATACCATCTTCATTTCTTACATTATATCCGCCCTGTGAAAGCATGTTTTAATCCCAATGGACATTATTATTTATTATTATTTGTAAATGGACCTGCCTCTCTCAGTCTCCCTGTCTGCTCCCCTGAGTTTCTCCATCAGCGGCAGGTTATGTTTTATGAAGTCGCTGAAAAGACAGTCGTCTTTTTCTGGATATTTCCACTCGATCCTTTTTCAGCAGGTTCTCCGCATGCCCGCTTGTTAACTACGTATCTTATCAATGTCATCGTCCATCCCAGTGTTTGATTGTCACCCATCACCCAACCCTTATTTGAATATATTTATTTACTCTGCAAGTAATCTTGTGACTGCATTTCCTTTTGTACGTTTCTTTTTGTTATCGTGATATAGGTCTTAAATTTCATTCATAGTGGTCTTAAATTTGACCAGGTGAAACCTGTTCTTATCGTCCTCTCTGAGCTTACTGAACCTGCGTCTTTCGTCTGTCTGTCCTGCAGTGAAGTTTTATATTTCAGCTCAGTCTCAGTTTGAAGCTTTCAGGTTTTAGCTTCTTGAACTGCCCACTTCCTGTTCATATTTAACCCACCAAACCAACTAGAGCTACAACAATTAGTCGAGTCTTACTACAAAAATATGGTGTTTTTTGAAAATTAAACCATGTAAACCTGTAAATAAATAAGATTTTGAACCTGAAAATGAGCAGAACACCACCTCTTTAAAGGGTCGTTTTCAAAAGAGAGCAAAGAAAAGTTTCTCCTCGTGACCTTTTGGTTGTTTCCCTCTGTTGCTCTCAGACCTGCAGATGGTGAACATCGCCGTGCGCGTCCTGTCGCGGCCGCTGGCGTCCAACCTGCCCGCCCTCTACCAGCAGCTGGGACTGGACTACGACGAGCGCGTCCTGCCCTCCATCGTCAACGAGGTGCTGAAGAGCGTGGTGGCAAAATTCAACGCTTCGCAGCTCATCACTCAGAGAGCACAGGTAACCCCACTGTGGCCACTTTATTAGGTACACCTTTGCAGTATGATGCTGTCCAGTACAACAGCTCTGCCACAGCATCCGTCTTTACAAAGCTCATTACGGTTGGAGGAACCGCCCCCTTTTTGGTTTGTCTGCACTGCAGGAACTGTGAACCGTCATAGTTCTTAGATCGCTCCTGTTTTAGCTCCTCTTCCAGCGCAAGAGGAACTTTGAGTGACGTAAGTGTGCGCTGATTGGTCGAGGGGCTGGTTTGTCTCAGCCAGCAGCCGAGTTTACAAGAATTTGCCAGATTTTAAAATACAATACACAGACTACAGTTTTTCGTTTTAGCCTGTTTGTAACAATTGGCTATTAGCTGAGCTAATAATACTACATCTTAAATAAAATAATAAAAATTTAGTATAGTGTAGTAACTAATTTCCCATCTCACCTGTCATATCTCGTTCCCGATGATATGAAGTAACTTTGCTGCCAGTTGTCATAGAGTATTTGTCTCTCAGCTCTCCTCCTTCTTTCTCTTTCAGCAGCAGCATCTCTTTTCCAACACTGTTACTATAATGAAACCCAGACACAGCTTTAACCACGGCGTCCTCCAACTTGTTAAACTGTTGCACAGCCGGTTACGTCACACTCTCAGAACTCCCCACAACTGTTTTGTTGACAGAAATATGTAAATTAAGTTCCACATTTATTACAGAGGTCATAGTTAAAGCTGGTGTTGTACGGGAGGGGTTTCTGTTTTTTTGTCCTCCCTATTTACAGACACGAGGAGGTCAGAATATTAGAAACACCACCACTAACTCACCGTTGCATTTGCCTCTTGATCTGAGACTATAATAATTACACATTGCTTTATACAGAGAGGTGTTTCTGTTATGTATCCCACCCTCTCTGATATAAATAGGGTGGACAGAATAATAGATATATCAGTGCAACACGGTTCAAAAGCAGCACAAACTACATCCTCCAGGCCTGCAGCCGAGTCATCGCTGCTCTGAAACCCAACCACGAGTTAAAGGGACTGCAAACATTTAAAAACATAAAGCTAATTTATAGAGTGTAGTTTCCTGGATGTTTGAAAATAACGTGTGACTGACACCCTCCAATCCCGTCCTCCAGGTTTCCCTGCTGATCCGCAGGGAGCTGTTTGAGCGGGCGAAAGACTTCAACATCATCCTGGACGACGTGGCCATCACCGAGCTCAGCTTCAGCCGAGAGTACACCGCCGCTGTCGAGGCCAAGCAAGTCGGTGAGTGGAGACAGGAAGTCGTCTGACCTCTGGGCCAACAGATGATTTTCAGATTGAGCTTGTTCCCGTGACGGTCGGCCTGCAGAGAGAGAACACCTTATTTAATCGGCTTTGTTTTTACATCGTCAGGGGATCAATCATTCTGTTCTGAGAGCAGGTTATACGAGGAGAGGTTATAAGATTTATGTAGGACATTAAGCAGGTTTTCTCGTTTCTAAATGTGTTTAAAATAATAATATAAACACAGAACAAAATTATAAACACAAGGCTTTTGTTTTTGCAAGGCTTTTGTGTTAGTGAGCACTTCTCCTTTGCCGAGATAATCCATCCACCTCCAGACTCCGTTTTGGAGTGGCCTTTAATTGTGGCCAGCCTGAGGCTCACCTGTGCAATCCCCATCTTCAGATCAGCATCTTGATATGCCACACAAAGGAGAAGTGCTCACTAACACAGAGTTTGACAGATTTGTGAACACTATTTGAGAGAAATAGGGGGGCAAAAACAAAAGTGTCGCCTTTATAATTTTGTTCAGAGCAGTAATATAAGTAACTTTCAGATAAAAGTCTGACTTGTGTGTGTTTGTTCCTCTCCAGCCCAGCAGGAGGCGCAGCGAGCTCAGTTTTATGTGGAAAAGGCCAAACAAGACCAGAGACACAAGATCATCCAGGCTGAGGGAGAAGCTGAGGCTGCCAAGATGGTGAGTCTATAATTCAGTCCTAAAGTTGGGCTGTGCGATATGACCAAAAATTAATATCCCGATATAGAACATTTTTTGTTAATTCAATGAAGTATGGCGTTTCCATCTGGCTATTTCTCTGCATTATACACACACATCACGGCTGGATAGTGTTGTGTGGCTCGTCAACTATATTTAATGCAAATTTCTTCCCTGCACCACCGGCACGTGTGGAAGAACGGACCACAGTGAAGTTAGTTTCAAGTTGGTACCGCGGTGCAAAGCGCCGTTCCCTCACCAAAATATAACGGTAGAATGTGAAATTTGCGACGCAACGAAATAAACGAGCATGATTGTAAACGAAAGATGTTTTTCTATCGTCATATCAGCCCGATATTAAACTGATCTGAAATCAGTTCAGGCTGATTTAATAAGAAGAAGCACTCAAATTTTACTGAAGTAAAATAAGCAAAACTCCTGCATTTAAGATTTCACTTTTTTCAAACGTACAACAGCAAAATGTACTTAAAAAGTGTTAAAGTAAAAGTGCATGTTGGGCATAAATCATAATATTGTAACATTTTACTGATGCTTTAACAGCTAAGCTGCGTTTTAATGTACAGCTGGTGAAGGAACTACTTTATATACTGACCTATCAATCATATAAATGTTTATCTTAATCTGCATGTTGAGACTGAGAGCTGCGTAAAGGATGGAGAGTATTACGGAGGGTCTACTTGTTCCATATAATCTTCACAATAAGACCAATCTGCTTGGTTTCCCTTTAAATAATAGACATTATGCATTTAATAGTCATTATAAATGTTCACTGATCATTATTCATGTTTTACCATGTGATCATGGGAAAACACAGATATACAGAATATTGTTCTTCCCGCACCTGGCAGGTCGTTGGTATTGAAGGTTTTTTAGTACTATGCACTATTATTAGACCGAGCTGTAGATCGAGACCTGCAGGCGACTCACTGGCTCCCCGAGGGCCACCAGGCGCTCTCTGGGGCAGCGGGTTGGTTTCCCCAGCTGTAAATTCACTACAGCTGACAGATAAATGGAGTCAAGTATAGTAAAATTATTGTTGTCCTTCCAACACAGTCCCACATGTTAGCAGCTAACACATTCTTCAAAGCTCTCTGCGGATCGCTTTCGTTCATGTCTTGACGGGCGCATCAAGCAACTACCACAGGGAGCATGTCAGAATAAATAATGCACATGAGTACACATGAATACACATGTTGCGGGATCAAGAAACAGTCCCGCGCAGCCTTTTCCTGAGTTAGTCCTACCTGGATGAACTGTGCTCCGTTCACTTTTATTTATATATTCATATAAGAGAAGTTTCATGCAGAGCAGCTTTCTGCTCGCAGGGTTTTTGTTGCAGTGGTGTCGAAACTCTCACTGAGCTGAAGTGGAACTTGTGCCCATGAATGAGGTAGATAACATAAATAAGCAGGTGTGTGGGCGGCGCTCAGGGAGTGGAGAGGCGACCGCGGCTGCACTTGTCGCTCTGCGGGGAGGAAAGCTGCTGTGTGACAGCTGAAAACAAAAGATCAGATGGGGCGAGCTGATACCCATCAGTGTCGGGATCTTTGCTGTCGGCTCCCTGGGAGCAGCTGTGTTTCCAGAAGGTTGCTACTGTTGTTGTGTCTGAACAGAAGCTTTACGTGTCTGTGATCCTCCAACCTGCTCTGATTCTCCTGTCAACAGTCTGTCCGAGTACCTCAGACGGATCAGACCAAGTCCTGGTTGTGTTGTAATTTAACTTGTGTAACAGTCTAATTAACACTAAAACAACATTTAATGACCACCTCAGGTAAATTCCTCTCCGCCCCACCTCGTAAGCGCAGAGAGAAACATAAGCCTCTTAAACAAACATGCAATAATTACTTTTGCTGCGTGAGAGCATTGGAGCCGAGCGGCGACACGCCTACAGCTTTGGCGGTGTTGTTTCTGCTCGGAGAGACCGGCTCGGCCGGCTGCCGCTGGTCGCCTCCGCTCACTCTCCCTTTCTGTCACAGTTTTCACCTGTCAACAACACTAACAGTTTAAATCTGTGTGTTTCAGCTGGGCGAGGCCGTGACGAAGAACCCAGGCTACCTGAAACTCAGGAAGATCCGGGCGGCGCAGAGCATCGCCAAGACGGTAAGGAACCTCTGTCTCTGTCTGTCTCTGTCTGTCTCTGTCTGTCTCTGTCTGTCTGTCTGTGCTCCATCTTCTCATCACTTTCTGCAGTTTCCAGCTGAAGAGACGCTCAGGTCTCAGACAGAGCAGAGGTGTTGAGCTGCACAGTCCTTATCGGACCTCCATCTGATCCTATTCAAAATAAAGTTTGGTCAAAATAAACTTTATCTTTACACAAATGCCATCAGATCATCAGAAAATAAAACCCCCCACCAGAACCCGTTTACCCAGAATGCAAAGTCCAGCCCTACTTTACACAGACCTCACCAGAGAGGGAGGAGTGAGTGATTTTAGCATGCTAACAGGAGCTAATAAGCAGGCAACACAAAGTTCAGCTGAGGACGATGGGAGTGTCGGTGCGTTTGCAGGCACTGCCGACCTTTAAAACCAGTGAAGGTCAGTTTAAACAAAGATAAAGCTCAACAGTATTTTCCTGTAGATCATGAAGGATGAGTCTTTAATCGAATCTACTGCTCCCTAAAATAAGATTTTTTACATTAATTTCATAGTATACTGTTACTTATAGTTACTATATTCATTATAATTTCATACGCTGTTTACCACTATTGGCCTAATATTAATTAGTTACTGCAGCTTCACTTTAGCGGGTTGTTTTTTAATTTTTTATTCATGAAATCTTCGTGCATGAAGCTCAGCCTACATTGATCTCTCATTTATTAAAGCTAAGTAATAACTTGTCAATCACAACTATTCATGTAGAGGAATTACTATATGTTGTAGTCTTTACTCGCACCCCGCATCAGGGGTTTGTAGCAAAGCTTTGGAGTACGCCCTGCAGCTTTAACTTTCTTTAAAAGGTTAAATATGTGAGAATCTAGTGGGGGGGGTTGGCAGGTATGCTGACGGCTCGAGGAGGATCGATCAGAACAAGAAAAACCAGTTTGTGTGTTCACGTGGGCAACGAACTGTTTTAAAACTGAGAAAGTATGCTCCTTTGATTAAGATGAGATATATTTTACCAGACTGTAGTAGACGTTAGTGCAGGTGAAAGAGCGTTTCCCTGGGATCACTAGAAACACAGATCACACATGAATAAAAGATGAACAGAAACACGTTACAACACACACACATTAGGTCCCTCAGCGTCTGCTGCATAAAATATAAATCTAAAGTGTCCAGGGCTGAAAGTGTTGGACTGGTGGCTGTGAGGTCAGGATGCAGCTTGGTGCTTAAAGTTATGTGAGCCTGCAGAATAAAGCTGCTCCAGATAGGCTTGTTGTCCTGGTTCTGATGCTCCTGGGCTGCTGAGCTGGTGGCAGCAGTTTGAAAAGTTTATGGAGCGCCGGTGAGGGGTCTTTAAATGTGTTCCCTCCACGGGGAGGTAGGGAGGGATCCAATCTGCTTTAAATAAGCGTTTTAACAGTGCTGTTAACTTACATTCTGAGAGCTGCTGTATTTTTATTTACTAATTATTAAAGACTAAAATTTGCTCCGTGTTGAGGTTGAATTGAGCAGGCAGCTGGTTCACAGTGAAACAGCTCGTTGAGTCCACTAGGTGGCGCCACATGAACATGAATCTGAAACAAACCGTCCAGCTTCATCCTCTCTTCATTTTGTCCTGACATTTGTTTATCGGGCCTGAAACGTTTTAATGCATTTATTTTCAGTTGAGTTAAAGCTCAAGTGTCATTTAGTCACATCCCGATGCTGCCCAAAGGTTTAATCAGTCCAACTACCGCTTTTTAACTTTATGTCTGCAGAATAAATCTTTCTGGGAGTTTCATTTTGTCCCAACTAGTGTTTTTCTGGAGCAGCAGAATCAGAATTTCACATTATAAAACCTAAAAACTTTTATTCCTTAACACTTCATTTAATCCTACATTTATATTTAATATTTGATTTGATATTTACTTTCATGGAAAATGGGCAGATTGTCACAACCATCGAATGTTAAACGGTTAATCAATCATCAAAATAGTTGCAGATTCTCTTTTTTTTCGGTCTTTGCAGTTTTCACCATGCACTGTCATAAAGTAAACTGATACAAGGACATTTTAAAGCTTAAATTATTTACTTGCAGACATTTTAGCTGATTATTAATGTTTTTGTCACCTATAATCCATAATTCATGTAAAACGTCTGAGTGATCACAGATGATAACACACAAGTGTCTGCAAGACTCAATTAAACAATTCATTATATGTAATGACAACTATAATGTAAACAAGCATTCATTAACTGTTTGTCTTAATTAAAACAACAACAGTTTTGGACGGTTTGATGTGACCGAGGATATAAAGAGCTAAATGCTTCGAGCTGAATCTAGATTTATTATACTAACGAATGCGTTTCTCTATATAAGTTCGTATTTTTCAACCTGGGCCCTAATATGTTTTTGTTTCTGTGACTAACTGGGATAAAAGTTTTTGTAACTGCTCCAGTGTTAAGCGAGCGCGCTGCAGCGTAATCCTTGCGGGCAAAAGTCCGTCCACTAAAGTTCTTGTTTTTGCTGCTAACAGGCTCAGATTTTTATAACTAGTGTCTGACAGCATTATGGAAAGGAACCCTACAGAGAGGGACCTTTTATTAAAGTGTAAGATCCTTTATGTTTAACCAGAAACAGTCGCCACATCGCTCTAACCAAAGCCACCGGACTCCATTAAGAAAAAACGGTAATTCTACCTCTCTGGTCTAACACTGCCTCAAACAGTTAGTTTGTGTCATTATATGACTTGGGTGTTTTTTAACCTTTTTAAAACTACAAACACAAGAACAAAAACAACAAAGTCACACATTAACCTAAACAAACTAACCGACCGAGGCAGCAGTAGACCAGAAACTCCCGTGTTCTGTGAGGTAAAATTACTGTTTTTATCAATGGAGTCTGGTGGCTTTGATCAGAGTGATATGGATAACTGTTTCAGGTTCAACATAAAGGATCTTACTCTTTTAAAACAAAGGTCTCTCTCTGTAGGGATCCTTTCCATAATGCTGTCAGCAGCAAAAACAAGAACTTTAGTGGACGCACTTTTGCCCACAAGGATTACATAGCAGCCCTGATTCACAGCGCGCTCACTCAGTACTGGACCAAGTTCAAAAACTTTTGTTCCACTTAGTCACATGGACACAAAACATAGGAAAATGAGGTCCAGGTTGAAAAATACAGTCACCCTTTAAGCTTTTAAAGCTTGCTAACACAGTATTGAACTCTGGTGTGTGTCTTTATGGTGCCAGAGTATTGAGGATTAAATTATTCATTGACAGGCTCTGAGCAGCTCAGGGTGACCTCACAGCACAGTCTTCAGATTACAGTCACGTCATGTGGACCAGGCGCTGGCGTGTGTTTCCTGTGTGGACGGCGAGCGGACCTCAGCGGCGCTCACTGTGCAGTGAATCAGCTCAGTGTTGACGCTCTAACAATGTTCCCATTGTGCTCGGCTGCAGCAGCTCAGTCGGGCCTGCGCGCAGAGAGACTTCCCACCTGTGTTTTCCCTGCGCTCACCCTCCCTGTGTGTGTTTTCTGTGTTTGACCTGCAGGTGGCGCAGTCCCAAAACAAAGTGTACCTGAGCGCCGAGAGCCTGGTGCTCAACCTGCAGGACAAAGACAGCTACAAGTGAGTCCAGGGTTTACTGTTTTAAACATGGTGGCCATGCCCAGAGCGGGCTTTAAAATCTCACAGGTCTTAGGAGGAGCTCTGGAAAACCGTATCAAAGCTTTGGGCTTCTTTATTTTAAGTATTTGATGATACCTGAGGAGCTGCTGACAGATTTATCCTACAGAAGGTCTTTTTTCCAGTGAACAAAATAAGATAAAGTTGTCAAATGTTCTGCAGCAAACAGTTATTTTGTTTTGTCTTCAATATGTCAGAATATAGTACAAACTATAAATTCCTGCAGCATAATGTTATACACTGACCAGAGATATTCACTTTGTGTTAAATGTAGAAAAGCAGCAAATATTCACATTTGAGAAACTTGATTTAGAGAAAAATGACAAAGGTTATGAATCGATTGTGTTACTGGCTGAGAGAGCACGCAGATTAGATTATAATAATAATTTACTCCGACTTGGACTCGGCCCTTGATGCCCGACCTTAGCTGTCCCGCTCCACTGCTGCCGACTGCTGATTCATAACAGTTAGAATAATAAGCACAGTGTGGTCATTTCTGATCTGTTTCTTTCAGTTTGCTGCTGAAGTAAGAAGACGTCGTCATCATTCCTCCTGGTCCACAAAGAAAACCGCCCCGGTCGTTTCTCACCTGTCGCCGCTGGTTTTCAGTCTGATCCAGGTTTATCTGTGAATCTGTTTCACCGCTGTGTATTTTATTTTGAAAGGTTCCTCTGGTGTTGGTAAAAGTCTTCCGTTTTGTTCTTTGCTTCTCTTTTATCATCATCTGTAGACGTTTAATATCTTTTTGCTTTGACAGAATCACAAGCGTTCCTCCTGCTGCTTCCTGTTAGTTCACGTTAAACCTGGAAATATAATTTTTATCATGAAGACTTTTCCTTTAACTTATTTATGGAACAATGTTGCTGGGGTTTTTTTCGGTATAACTTTTTCATCAAGTATTTGACACAAAATTACAAAATAAAGTTCCATAAATAAAATGTGTAAAATGTGATTTTTAACAACACCAGAGGAGCCTTTTAAGGTGTCAGTTCTCCAAAATCACAAAAAAATTCAATCTTAACACCGAGTATTAGAGGAAATATAGACTTCAGGAACAACATCGTAATATTTTTGAGGGGAAAAGTCATAATATTAAGAGAATACAGCAGAAATGTTACTAGAATCCTTCTGACTGTGTAAGACTTTATTTTTAAAGTAGTGTGACTTTTTTCCCACTAACTTCGGCCCTAAAGCTCATTTTGTTTTGCTGGAAGTGAAGCTGTAGGGCTGCGATTATTCTCATTACCAATCGATTCACTGTACTGATTTCTTTAATGAAAATAATTTAGTTTACAGTCACAGAAAACCAAGAACACAAGCTAATAATAGGAGCTTTGTTATAAATGTTGAATTGCGTTAGCGCTAAAATTCAGTTTGAAGCTCAAACACTAGAAGCAGCTCTTTGTTCCTGTTTACATTAAGAAACCGCAGTATTTTCAGATCTAACTGAATATGAGGATCTGAAAGGCAGAACGTGTTTCTGTGATTTGGGTGAACTGACCCTTTACGTGCAGGACGACACTCGACCGCTGCTCCGACTCGATGGAAACCCGCGGTCTCGTACCCGCTGCTGCTCGTGCCTTTGAGACCCGGCCGTCTGTAGAAAACCAGCTTCACTACTTCTTCTCCTGTTGACGTTGTGTTCAAGCTCGCACTGAAACAGCCATCAGCCTGGCGGCGCCGCTAAAGCTAGAGATAAATGATCGGCCGGCTGGGGTTGGAGCGGTATGAAAAGTGGCGGTTATTGTACTCTACTGTTAAAGAAAATCTAAACCATGTCTGTCTGGACGTTAGAGTTGTAGAAATACAATAAAGCATTTGTTCAACAAAAAAACCTTGTTTTCATTAATTTAAGGGTTTTGTTCTTTCTCTCCATGTTTATTAGTTTACAGCCATGTGTAACGTCAACTACTGACGTAGCTGCGCTCGCCGTAGACTGGTTTATTCTCTCTAAACCAGCTGAAGGAAACGCACCTGATACGATCGAAACATAGCTAATGTCTCAGATTTGAATGTTTATGGCCTGTGATTCTGTCCATTGCAGATCCCTCGTGACGTCGGCAGCTGCTTTAACAAACTCAAACGTTGCAAATAAAAACGAGTCTTGCTGTTGTAGTCAAGATCGCCCAAACCGAGGCCAAGTCAAGACCAGCCACAGGTAGTCTTAACGACTGTCGTCACAGCAACAAGGAACACTAACGAACCAGCAGTATCGATGACCCGGGCCAACGACCCCCCTGAGGGCGGCGGTCGTTAAGCGAACAACACACTTTTAATTAGGGTTACTGGTTGCATTTGAAGCAATACGTTTTACATCCAATCAAAGTTTCGATGTAAACAAATAACTCGATAAGTTGATATTCCCAAAGTTATGGTCTCAACTGGTCTTGGGGGGGAAAAAAATCCCAAGTGTTCAATGTCCGAGACCGAGACCATCAAAATGTGGTCTTAAGACCGGTCTTGACACCGAAAATGGTCTTAAGTACTACAACACCAATAAATGGCATTGGTACAAAATGCCAGAGGACTCTGGCTGGTAGGTGGTTTTCTTTGGGCAGATCCAGGCTAGCGGTTTCCTGCCTTTATGCTAAGCTAAGCTAAGCACCAGCTTGCTGTAGCTTCATATTTAGCATACAGACGTGAGTAGTGGCATCAATCTGAACATTCAACTCCTCAAGCTGTCCCCTTAAAACCCTCTCACATTCAAGCGTTGATGCGTTCAGGGGTCGGCGTGAGTCTGAAGCTGCAGTGACTCAGTTCCCACAGCAGCTTAGGTGTTTTGTAACATTTCGTTGAGCCTCAAACTAAATATGTTGAGTCACGATGGTTAATACCAGCGAGTATTTCTGTCAGCAGACGAACGGCACGCAGCAGCGACCAGACGCACACTGTTATCTTTGTTTGTGTTGCAGCCGAGTGGAAACGAGAAGCTTGTTTGTTTGACTCTGTGTGGCTTCAGACGTCCTGTCTGCTCCTGCAGGTGATCTTACACTGAATAAAAAATCACCTACCCAACATCATGTCTGAATTTAGTCTTTGTCTCATCAAAAGGTTCGGTTCTTAATTTATGACCAGATTCAGCAAAGCTCATGTGGTAAAACATGATTACAGAGTTTACAATACATAAAATAAGAAATGTTAAATGACAATGTTTTGAGAAAGGTTTGTTTGCACAATAACAAAAACATCCATCGCAGAAACAAATGTGCTTTGTCCCAAAAAAAAGAAACTTGAGCTTAAAAAAAAAAAAAGCTACTGATTATAAAATGACCCCAAAACGTGCAGCACCAGTCTGTGACAACTTCTTGACACAGTTTCTTGTTGGCCAAGTTTTCTGTTCCCTCCCTGTGAACATGACAAAACAGGAGGGGAGACAAACTCATGACTCAGCAGGGATGAAATTAAATAGGAAAAGTTGATCTGCCGGAGAAACAGATCTGAAAGCAGCACAGAAAGACTGAGAGCTGCACTCACTTAGATTCTGTCAAGGATCAGAGTTTGAATGCTGCCTGAATTTTCTGTTTCCCTCTATTGAAATAAAAACTTTTCCACCATAAATTATTGCAGGGAATTTCCCCAGAATGCAGAAATTTAGGTGTTCAGTGCAGCACGGTGGCCTAGTGGATAGCAGTGGGGGCCCACAGCAAGAAGGTCCTGGGTTTGAACCCCGGTCGTCCTGTCTTTTTCCGTGTAGAGTTTGCATATTCTCCCCGTGTCTGTGTGGGTTTTCTCCGGTTTCCCTCACCATCAAAAACATGTTGGGTAGGTTCTCCAGTCGGTGCCGTTTGACCTGGCATGGCATTTCAATCTGGAGTTGGCCCCCGGGCGCTGAACAGCGGCTGCCCGCTGCTCCCTTCAGGGATTGGCTTAAATGCAGAGGATGAATTTCGCTACATGTATGTGACAAATAACGTACGTTTACGTTTTTAAACACAAAGTGACGCTCTGATGTGCCAACACGATGGTCTAAATGCTGCAGTCACATTAACTGATTCTAACTGAAAGAATGTCAGAATTAGCAATAAAACAGTCGTCTGTGTGTAATTTGTCTGTAATTGTAGGTAAACTGAAGAAAAACGTTCTGCAGACGTTGCCTCGTGTTCAGGATGTGAACAAACCCATCAGAAAACACTCAGAGTATCAAATACTGTCATGGATGAAAGGTACACATTAATCAATTCCTTAGTTATTTCCATTATTGATTATGGATCAATATCGACCCATTATTTTCTAAAATGTCATAAAATGCTAATTGCAGCGCCCTGCATGTCGTCCACACGTCGCTGATGTACAGACCGAACCAGACGAGTGGTCTCCAGCCGTGCTAGCAGCTTAATCAATACCTTACACTGCTTTTAACAATACAAAGTTCCCAAATGTCAAGTTTTATGAGCAGCCGTACGAACGCAGTACAAGAACGATCAGATCAGAGGATAAAGAACAAACACCCACATGAACAACCCAGAAGTCTGTTCTTACCTTCAGCCTGTGAAAATAAAAACCGTGGCTATAAATAGTTTCTATATTCCAGGTGTGATATAACAGCATGTGGGATTACCTCGTATGTAAATTACAGACTCCCTCTAAAGCCGACGTACGTGTGACATCTCATGAATATTCATACAAACATCATCTCTCTGACTTTAAAACACACAAATCCTTTTTAATATGTTTTATTTTTATCCACCAGCAGTGTTCTACTTTGACAGAGTTACAATATAGACCTGGAGAACATTAAACAGAACGTTTGAGGGCGGAAATGTTCTGCTCTTTGTGTAAGACTTTATTTTTTTCACTTAATTACATCAAGTATTGGACATTTAGAGAACATAAAAATGAAGCGTTTACAAAATAAAGCTTCAGTTTAGTAAAGTAATTTATTTTAAGGAGTCTCTTAAAGTGTCAGTTCTCCAAAATCACAAAACATGAACTTTTCACTGGGATCTTAGAGAAGGCAAACTTTTTTCCACTAACTTTTTCCCGAGCAAGGCAGTATTACCTGTACGTGCGGATAGTTGTGGTTTTGTTGGAAGTGAAGCTGCTGGGCTGCGGTTATTGTCATTGCCGATTGATCTATTGATTATTTTGTTGATTAATTGGTTTTTAAAAGCCTGTCTTCAATTAATAAAATTATATATATTTAGTTTGCTGTCACAGAACACACGAGCAGATAATCACAATTACTGTAAAACTTCAATTAGAGGCCCGTCCCTTTTACTGGCCTGGTGTCGCTACACGTTTGACAAATAACTGCAGGTCTCCATTAGAAGCCTGGTCTGATGTTTCTAGAAGTTCTCTGGATGTATGAAGCCCACCGGCTCGCCTGCTTAAGCAACTTTCAAGCTGAAAATTTGATGCAATGAATTCTAACTGGCCACTTTATTAGGTACACCTTGCTGCTACCAGGCCGGACCCCCTTTTGCCTTCAGAGCTGCATTAATTCTTTGTGGCATATTTTCAACAAGGTGTTGGAGACTTTGGTCCATACTGACATGATAGTTTCACACAGTTGCTGCAGATTTGTCGGCTGCACACCCATGATGTAAATCTCCACTACATCCCAAAGGTGCTCTATTGGACTGAGATCTGGTGACTGTGGAGGCCGTTGCAGTTCAGTGAACTCATTGTCATGTTCAAGAAACCAGTTTGATATGATTTGAGCTTTGTGACATGGTGCGTTATCCTGCTGGAAGCAGCCATCAGAAGATGGTACACTGTGGTCATAAAGGGATGGACATGGTCAGCAACAATACTCAAGTAGGCTGTCGATGCTCAGTTGGTACTCAGGGGCCCAAAGTGTGTCAAGAATATCGCCCACATCATTACACCACCACTGCCAGCCTGATCCGTTGTTCCAAGGCAGGATGGAGCCATGCTTTCATGTTCTTTACGCCAAATTCTGACCTGAATGTTGCAGCTGACCAGGCAACGTTTTTCCAATCTTCTATTGTCCAGTGCAGGTGAGTCTGGCATCAACCATGCTACGTTCAAAGTCACATAAATCCCCTTTCTTCCCCATTCTGACGCTGCATTTGAGCTTCAGCAAGTTGTCTTCACCACGTCTACATGTCTAAATGTATTGAGGTGCTGCCATGCGATTGGCTGATTAGCTATCTGTGTTAACAAGCAATTGAACAAGTGTACCTAATAAAGTAGCCAGAGAGTGTTTTTTGTCTTGGAGGACTTTACAATCTCTACAAGGCACTCTTAAACCCAACATACCAAGCGGCCATTTTGAACCACAAACTAACAACCTAAACTAAACAACCGTTTGATGCTAAAAGCCTGATAAACGACATCAGTTCTGCATCACCTGTTGCTTAATCAATATTTTCAGTGATGTATTCTTCTTTAGCAGCTCACTAATGCTTCAGCTTATTTCATCGGTCACGTGACCTCCTCCCCTTCCTCCTCTCCTCCACAGGGTTATAACACAACACAAAAAAAAGAAAAGATAAGATGGCTGCCGAGTTATTTATAGCCGGCTGTGAGCAGAGAGGCTGCAACCTCAAATCTGCAGAGGGAGGGAGAACGGGGGAGTGCGGGGGGAGGGTGGGGGTGCTGGAGTCCATTGTGTTAGCGACACAAAGCAAGCTGCCGTCCCTCCATGTTGCAAGAGGCTGCTGCTGTTCTTCTACATAAGACAGAGGAAGGAGGAGGCGGGGGAGGGCGGGCGCAGATTTAAATCTCAGAGGGGAGGGTTTTTTATTCGGGGAGGGTTTTTTATTCAGGGAGGGAGGGGGGGGGGGGGGGCTTTATGGTACAGGTGGGTGAATATTCATGGAAAAAAGGAAAAGAATAAAGAGGGGGCTGGAAGACAAAGGGAGCACAGGA